TATTTCTTTATTTAACTATTTTAGATTAATTTGAAAGTTGTATGATGATGTTGATGTGAGTTATTGATATTGTGATTGTTTCTAATTTCTCAGAATTGATTAAGATTTAGATTAGAGGTTTTATTAAGGTTGACGCGGCTCCAAAAGAATTTATTTTTATTGTGTTTAAAGAACACAAATGCGAAATATGTATGCTTTTAGAACGCATATTACATTAGTTTCGTAACTTATCCAATATATGCTGATGTATATCGAAGACATGTTAAATCAGTTTTGGAAAAGCTGATCTAATACTTTCAACTGACAAAAAAAACCATTTTCAAAAGTGATTTCTACCTACTCACTACATAGTTGAGAATATATTGCAATAACTAACAACGGATCGATGGCATACACATAATGCTTACTTGTAATCCAATATGAAAAAAAAAATATTTGAACCGCAATCTTTTCGCTATCCCGTACGGGTACCTGCATAAAAAATACATGCGAGCATTTTAAAATTGCAGATATCCGCAAAAGAATTAAAAAATATATTTTATATATTTTTTAAATAAAATTACAATATATATATATATATAATATAAAGTAAATTAAATATAAATTAAAATTTAATTTTTATTAAATTTAACCTAATAAAATAAAAATTAATTTCATTTTTAATTTAATTTAATTTAAAAAATCAAATTTAATATAAAGAGGCAGGAAAAAAAAAAGGTTTTGAAACTTAGATGTAGCTTATAAAATGAGAGAAAAAAATAGTAGTAAAAAAAAAAAAAACAAAAGAGTACTTACGGAGGAGGGGGAAAAGAGGAACTGGGATAAAGAAAGTAGAGAAGATTTGGGTAATCTATTTGAAATGTTGTTATTTTAACTAATTATTATATACATTTCTATTAAATCATTTTTTTTAACCGATTGAACACACAACACGTATATTTAAATCATTTTTTTAACCGATTTAACACACATAGTATATATATATATATATTAATATTATAGATACTTTTTTTACAATCAATCTAATATATTTCTTAGCAATGTTTTTACGTAGTTGCCATACCATCAATTTAATAGCCTGATATAGTATATTAATTTTGCACTAATGGAACGTAGTATTTTTGTTCTGTTCATCAAAGTTGAGGGAGATGAATTAGGAAAGAAGCTTCCCGTTACAAAAAAATAGTTTCAGCACACACTCGCAAAATACAAGAAAATAATATGGACAGGGGTGTTGAATTGTTTGATAAATAAAAGATTAATTATATGAGAATTGTCTACATATTTCTCTTTTCTATCATATCATCTTAGTAGTCAGTGTAAAATTTAACCTATATTTTAATTTGTCACATCGCCTAACTGAATAAAAGAATTGTCAAAACTAAGATGTAAAAAAGTACAAGTCATATTTTTTTATTTATCTTTTATAAATTTTATCTTAGTAATATTTCATAGTTGTGTGCTATTATTCATATTATTTTAAAATAATTATTACTTATCACTTAAATATAGTTATTTAAAAAAATATATTTATACTAAATTACACATCAAAACACTGTTGTCTTTTTATTATTATTATTAAAATTAGTTTATACTTTATTTTTAAACTGTTAAATTTATTTTTATTTTATAGAATTGGACCAGTTGAATTTCATGACCAATTTAGTATTAACGAGATTAATAATTTTAAGAACAATCAAAATCCATCTAAGACACGTCTCTTCCCCCAACATGTTGAAATCATAGCTGTTTTGATATTAGTCGAGAAACGTTGAGAAAAATCCCAAACAAGAATAAAAATTGTTAGAAAAAACTATGAAATATTATTTTAATGCGTAGTAATTAAAATTAACTTTACAATTTTAAACTTTTTTATTTCTTTATTTAACTATTTTAGATTAATTT